ATGATTCTTAGCTCTTAGTAAAATTCATGGAGAGAAGATCTGAACCTCAATTTCAGTTCTGTTCTGTCTAAAGGTCAGAAAAAATTAGGGTTTGTCTGAAAGTTTCTATCTAATCCACAAAACCACAATGGATATTGCAAAACTTCTGAGCTTGATTTTCTTTGCTGGTGATTGGAGTCCCTCAATTCTATTCTCAAGTGAAACAAAGACCAAAAACTGAGAGAAAAAAATGGAAGTGAAGACAAACATTTCCAGTCCTTGAGTGATATTTGCTCAGCTTCTAGATGAGTTCGGGACTCAGTGGAAACTGAAGAATTCAAACACAATTAAAATTGCATAATCCATTTTTAACACATAAGGAACAAATGAAACGGTATAAAAATTGTAGGTGAGAAAGTTAAAGAAAACCCAGGAAAAAACCCTGACAAAACATTCAGAGGCAGGTGGCCTCTTCACTTTCATTTACCACACTTCCATCCCCTTATTAGATATATGAGAACAAAAGTGTGCCTGATGCTTTACAGCCACATAGGAAGATGCTGTCGCTAGCTGAAATTTCTCTTAGAATCCTGATGGTAATGGGACTCCATGTGTGTCTGGGCTGCCTGCACAGCACTCATTAAAGACTTCAGTTTTCCCTGAACAGCTTGTACCTATTCACATGTCATAGGATAATCTTCCAATTACCCTGGAATGAAAGAGTGAAACAAGTTGGGAGATGCACAGTTTCAAACTAAGGATTTGGAGATTAGGCAGGGATATGTGTTTCAGACAAATCCTCATGTATTAAAGAGTGTGTTTGTTTTAATGACAACTTGAATACTGCATCACCTTCTCTAATAGGGCAGCAATTAAACCTTCAGATATGTCAATTAGCTACTGATGGGCTGATTTCCTGTTTGTTAGTGTACCAGTGGAGACTCATATGGCTCTGGAAAGTTTCAAGACTGCTGTCTGGGGCTTTTTGCACTTCAGGGACATTTCTTGCAGGCATTAAAACCCTGCTTGATTCCTCATCATTAAATATCAGCTAAAGTCCAGGAGCAGAGGAGAACTTCAGGCTTGAAACCAGCAAAACTGCAGAAAGTGAGCTGCTACCTCATTATGATCATAGAGTCAATAAAGTCACCTGATGGCAGATTTAGAGGAACTCATTAGGAGATGGAATTTGGTTGTGCAGACAAGCTGCTGTGATTCTGGAATGAGGCCCTTTCATTAAGGTCTTCAAATAGGATACAACGCAGAGGGAGGGGGAGCCTGCAGGGCATTGCAGCTTAAAAGCATGGCAATAAGGATTCTATATGCATAGAGCACTCTACATTGCAAGGCAAAGGAGATAAGGTCTTAGGTGATATTTAAAAGAAAATAAACGAGAAAGGAATTTAAGACACCTATATCCCCTTAAAAGTGATATTTTGTAATTCTGACTTAGAGTGAAAGCTATGACATCCAATGAGAATACAATGCAACAGACCTTTTATTGCCTAATCTCTATGTAAATTTACTGATTTCTTATTTTTGGAACTTAACTTTTTAAAGCATAATTGAATTAATCTAAGTCAAAACAAACCCAAAGCTTTTCGTGTGGCCAATCCATTTTTCTGTTGTTTCTCCAGTCTCATTGCTGCTAAAGGCAAATATCTAGCACCCAGCTTCTAATCAGTGAGCTCTGTTCCTGCAGCACTCCTGAGGCTTTACCTCAGGAAGGTGGAAAGATAAAGCTCCTAAAAAGCATAAGTCTAAGACACACAAGTCATAGAGATGTCCTGTAAAGCCAGCCCAGAGCAGCAGAAATGCTGTCTTGTACGCAGTGTGCACCCTAGTGAGCTGCTGAGCTGTGCATAAAGAAGTAGAAATAGGTGCTATAATTTTGATCCAGAGAGAAAACCACCCCTAACAATTCCCCTTTTGAGAATCACCGATGTAGCAAAAGTCTAGCTATAATGAAAGAGAATAAAGCTCCTGGATTCTTCCACTGTGGACACTGCAATTTTGGTTACGGCGAACTTAGAAAGAAAGTGAATGGAGTGGAGTGGCTTAATTATAAGAGGGCTCGCTGTGGTTACTTTAAAATCTTGGATATGGTGTAGGGTACTTTTTCTCCCATCCATCTCTTTAAAACTAAGGAAGGTCAGGAGTGTTCTGGACAGTCCCCCAGAAAGCACACAGTTGGTGCAGTCTGTACTTGAGCTGCTATTTTTTTCACCATTCTACATTTGCCTTGAAAAAATTTAGCATAAAACTTTGTCCAACAGCATTGCGATGCAAGGAAACACTGAAAAATTTAGCTCTGCTAGTGAGATGGGTGCATGAAAACAGCAGGTAAATAACAGATTATTATTCTATCTCTGACTAACTTGAAAAAAAAATTAGAAACCTGGAGAAAGAAAGTATGCATCTTTTTATGTGCTGGAAGCTCAAACCAGCTTAAACTGTCTGATACTTAGTTTGTTGTAACTGACCTGGCTCTGTGAGCAGTTCCAAAGCCATGTTTCTAGAAAATACAGTCTGTGTTTAGCTTATAGCCATGAATATGTAAAGGTCTTTACCCGTGTGTTATTTGTCTGCCATGCTCCTGTTCCTGTGCTTAGCTGTCCAAATCAGAACAGGCTGTCTAGTCTTCCTTTCTGCACTGCCTGAAACCAGCAGGAAGTTTCTTGAAAATGTTCATACAAAATGTTAAAAGAAATCTCTCTGCACTGCTTGCTTGTTTGCTTCTCAGAGACAGCCTTGTGAATGAGTCTGCTGCTTTTCTTTATACTGACTTTTTTTTCTCATTTGTGTTACCACAGCACCTTGCAGGCCAAATTGTGGTCTAGAACCACTGTGCACCAAGTGCTGCAGAAACATGAAACAACCAGGCTCCATCCCGAAGGGCATAAAATTATATAATGGAAATATAAGACCAGTGACCACAGATGGATAAGAATAAGGGAATAACAAGATCATACTAGGGGGTGCCTTCCATGCGCCTGTGAGCTAACCATGTTCAAGTTTTTGGCAAAGGAGAATTTTAATAAGGGATTCAAAGGAGGATAACAGTTGGTTTTATGAATGCACATGCAGGCTCTTCTTAAGCCTGAGGGGCAGCAAGGGAGAAAGCACAAAAGATGCTTGTTGGAAAATTTAACAAATTGATCAATTGAAGCTGGCATCTGGGGCCGACTGATGCTGGGTATTTATATTTTGATAGTGAATAAAAAGTGACAAGTTGGGAGTAAGCCATGAAGGGCTTTGAAAGTTAAGAGAGTCACAATAAGCTTGATGTCCCAGAGGAAAAAGGAATCATTGAAATGGTTCAAAGATAATGGGTATAGTCAGAACAACAGGCCAGGAAAATGATTTATATAGCTGGGGCCTGAAATGAGCAGGGCAAGAGCACTTTTGTGAGGACCACAGAAAAGGGCATTGCGCTAATCAAGATGAGCGACGGGACAAGAGCTTCAGCAGTAAGTAGAGACAATAAAGACTATTGTTTACAGATAGCATGTGGAAACACGATGTGGACTGAATTGGCAACACAGATGGGAGACTCAGCGAGAAGACGGGATCTCGTGCTTCTGCATGTGGACATCCAAGTCTGAAGGCAGTGCTGCTCATCACAATCAAAGATGAAGATAAGGGAAAGGACTTATGAACATTCAGGGCTTTTAGTCACCTCAAGTGTGATATCCAAACTTATCAAGGCTCTCATTTGGATAGAAAGACACGTGTCTAGAATAAATTGCCATGGAACAGAGCAATGATTCTGTATTATGGAAACTGTGATTTGTTTGCATGAGCATATGAAATTATCAACAATAGATAGAAGGGAAGAAGATGCTTACAGAAAGCAGGAGAAGGGAAGACACTTTGAGGGAAAAAGGCAGGGAAATATTTGGAGTCAAGAAAGAAGAGGTGGTCAAGAGGAGTCTGTTTGAAAGTGTTTGTGATGCTCACAGGTCCAGAAAGGTGAAGATGGAGTAGGAGTGTTGAGATGTAGCTGAGGAACTGCCATTATGGTTTCTGCAAGGTAAAGGGGGAAGAGAACACATGAGGACTTTAAGGTAGCTCCAGAAGAGAGGAATTCATGGAGTTATTGTACAGAGAATCTTCAGTCTGCTTACAGGGAAAAGAGATGGGTAGAAATTACAGCTGTAAGTGGGGTGAAAGGAAGGAGATTTTATATAGGAGAAGAAACAAGGTATTTTTGAAGTGTGAGGAGAGAAAAGAGCCAAATGAGAATGAGAGGTGAAGGAAAGAGGAAGGGAACAGATAAGAGCAAACATTGAGACTGGAAGAAAGGTTAGGATGAGGTCACTGTGACAAGTGAAAAGTCATCTAGAAAGAATGTTAAAAAAAAATCCAATTTTTAAATATATCTTACAGGCTATTTGTGGGAAATGCATTTGGAAAGATCTGTTTTGAAGACCTAAGCACATGCAATCAAGAAACAGAAACATAGACAAATAAGACATGCTAATTGAAGCAGCTCAGTTTTCAGTTCAGGTTTCCTAAGCAGGGCATTTGTGAAGAAAAACAAAACATCTTTTGAGAGTGGAAAACTACAGAAATATGAAAAAGAAGTTCTGAAGGCATATGACTTTCTAGCTTGGCATTGACCTATTTCAAAGGCAAGAAGAACATTGGGGAGTTCAGAATGAGAAATAAGGGGGTTCATTTTTCATCAGAATAGTACTGAAGGCTACATTGTGTTCACAGCAATGTTCTGCACTTATACATGTCTTTATGGTTTGGATTTCACATCATGGTCTCATCTTTGCTTAAAGTGACACTTCATTGAAAACTTAGTTCAGCAGAAAATTCCTTAAAAAGTTAATGTTTTTAAAATAGAGAATTTTCCAGAAGTCTACCTCTTTGAAAACCCTTCTGACAAAGTGCTAATGACATTCTCACGGAATCTTGCCTGTTTTCCAAACATCTTACCTGAGTGCCTGCTCTGGGAGCCAGGTCTCCAGGACTTCTTGCTCTATGAGAGCAGTTCTCAGATGAAAGAAGGAGGCAGGAGGCTTGGAGTTTAACCTTCCATATTTCATCTAGGTTTGAAATCAAAGATTTAAAATACCTTCAAAAAGTTTTCTTTGCCTTCTTTATGAGACTTCTGATGTTTATTCGAAAGTGAAATTAATTATTTTTCCTCAACACTTCTGAACATGCTGCGGAACACAAATACCAGCTTTTGAACACCATAAATGCTAAACGCCAAAGCGAAAAATCAACACATGCCTTTCAGTCATTAAGAAACAGTATGAAATAAAACAAGTGTTGCTTGCACATTGTCAAATGTGTGCATTTTGGGGGAAATTCCAGTAAATTAATGAAAGTGTTGAATTCACATTAAGACTTCCATTGAATAGTGCCTGGATTGCGATAATTAACAAATGTTGTTTGTGTTATATGGAGCAGATGAAAATTAGCTGCAGTTTGGGGTGAGGGGAATGTATAATTGGGTATTGGTAGTGCTTTTTAGGAAACGGCACAGACATCTGACTTCTTCATTTTAGCTGAATTTGTGGATGAATCAACTGATCAGGACAAGTAGCCCTATTAAAATAGCAACTTAATATTTTGTCTTTGCAGATCACATTTTGTACATAGTCTTACAAAACATGATATTTTTAAGAGAATGCTGCCTAAACTGCATGAGCTAGGCTATGGAAAGTTGTGGAAAAAAGACTTAGGAACAACAAAGTAAATTACGTTGAAATACATGAAATAGGGGAATTTTAAAAACAGATGTTGAAATCAATCCTGTAAACACAGGTAGGTCAGGCCTACCTGTGTTGGACCTCTAAAGCACTCACTGTTAGTAAGTTGATCTGTTTTTAAGGGGCAGAAGTGCTGTCAGAATAAGCTACTGGGACAACATCTAACTGTTACTATAGTAAATGTGTCCTATGCTATACAAAATCATTATGTTGTGTGGTTGCTTATGAGTTAAGTGCATATGGGACAAAAAAGTTGAGCGATCACAATAACTTCTAGTTTAGAAACTTGAGAGGAACAAACAGACAACTATCACTGACAATTTTTATTTTTTTTTTATTTTAAGGTAAGCTGATCCTAAAGTAAAGTAATTTCAAAGTAGCCTGGAAAGCCTATTTTAGTTTTCAAAATAAATTCTGAAGAAAGGTCACTGGAAGGGCAACATCATGGAGGTGGAAACAGCTTGAAAACCACCGAGAGCATACAGCATCTCTTCCCAACACCCATTTGCTACACAGAAATCACAGTGTACTACCTATTATCCATCTGCAACCAACTTTGAATGAGTCAACACCTAACATAATAGGACCTTGCCCCAAACACTCACTTCTGCTTCCTTCATGATAGTCTCTGCCATGGCTGAACATCTTTTTTAAGTTGCCTCATAAAGTCAGTGTGTATAATTGTGAGTGGATATATTCCTTAATGTTGAAACAAATTGGAAAGGGAGTTAGGAAATGCTTCTAGCTTTTGAATGATTAGAAAACTGTGATGTTTAGCACTACATGTGTGTATAATTGTGACATTGCTCAGCTTTTATCATGGGGTGTGATAATTATTTTGTATTTAAATAAAATAGCACAACTGCACAAACACAGTATTTACTGCAGGTTGACACCACTGTGCAACAAAGGTCCTTTTTTTCTTTCACAAGGACAAAACTTCCAAAGTTGTAGTGACAACAGTTTTCTTAATATAATTTGCTTCCTTTCACAAAATCACAGCATTTGATTCTTTGGGAAATGTAAAGATAGAATGCTTTCCTCAGATATACACACTGGGATAATGTTTGCTTATCGGTATATTTGACTTAATTAACTAACTAATTTTATATCTCCAAATAGGATTGCAGTTTGCAAATGGATTCAGAAAAGAAGCCCCCCACCCCAAAAAAAAAAGGATGGAGAAATGAAGTGGGGGAAAAAAGCAAGATGTAGTGGAAAAAATAGTAGAAATAATATACCTAGATATACTATTAAAGGAAAAGTAATCATCCATTAGTTAAATTAAACCAAAATTTAATGTATTAGATTATGTTATCTAACTGTTCTGAGGGATCTCAAAGAAATCTCTTAAGCATGAGTTAAACTTATTTTCATTCCTAAGAAGTTTCTGCTAACTATGAAAATTGGTGGATGCTTCAAATGGTGTATGGGCAAAGACACAATGACATAGTTGCGTTTTTTAGTTGCTGCAAGCTTTAATGTAACATATAGAAAAAGAGCAAGTGCCAATCTGTTGCAAAGTGATGCAGATTCTACAGAGATCTTGGTGATATTCCATGACACCTACAATAACACCTCAATAGCATAGTCATAACTATGTATTATATTAAATGTGCATTTTTTACTTTAGAGAAAGCTTCCATAATGTCAACAGTGCTAAGCTGCTTTCTGAAAGAACAAAATGTGAACTATTCACTATGGACAATTCTGACACAATGGAAAGATACTTTGGTAAGAAAATATATTTGTCTTTCACAGACCTAAAAAGTCCTTGGGGACAGAAGTAAACCCAGAAACAAAATCTCCTTGGACATCAGTATAACTATCTCTTCTGTTTGTTAATATTCACCTTTTACTACTGACTGTGACAAATGGTTCTCTCTCAACAGAAATAATATTATTTTACTGTAACTATTCAAAAACTCTTAGTGCTTTCTAACATGAAGCTAGTAGAGTTCACAAGAAGCCAATGTGGGACCTTATTTAATATTTTTCTTAATGAATGCCACAATTAGATTTATATTAACAAAGTTTCCTAGACCTTCCAAATTGGAAGATATTGTCAGTATTTGTGAGAATCAGAATGCCTACCCAACAGAAAGTATTGCTTGAATGATTCTGAGGAGTTAGGGAGTTACAATACAATACAATGATAGTTAACAGTAGAAAATGTTCATTTAGCATCTAATAACAAGCATTTCTGCCCTAGGACAGGAACTTTTGACTTGCCAACAACTGCTGCAAAAAAGGCTGATGGATACATGGCCACAAGCAGTAACATGCCATCCCGATTGCACTGGTGAGGCATTTCCAACAGAGATACGGAAGTTAGAAAGTGTTGTGCTAGGTATGAGTAAGAGCCAGCTAGAATTACTGTGAGTGTAGTTGTGTCCTTGCATATTACACAAAAAAGCACTGGTTGGATGATCCAGGAGCTGCAAGTTTGATGGATGAGATGAAAGCAGGAAAGCAAAGTCTGGGAGAAGGATATAATTCTACAGTGGTAGGAAGGATAAAGAGCGGGTAGGGAAAGCAGTATTTCAGTGTTATTCAGGTCAATGTTGATACAAACACAAATGAAAACCACTGACCACAAATATATATATATATATTTAAAACTAGAAGCTTTTGAACCACCAGAGTGGTGAAGATCTAGAAAAGCTCTTCTGCAAGAGACCCTAGAATGCAACCCAGCTAGTTTTACAGCAAGTTCAGAGTAAGTTCTGAAAATTTAGAAATAGGGTCTAGGGAAATATTCTGTTGGTTTTCATTTGGCACTAATTAAAATGTTCTTAACATATTGCTGATTGGTTGAGACAATAAGTATTTGGATTTGCATCAACAGGAGATTTCTATCACTTTGTATTTCTGTATAAAAACTTAAGTTTTACATTTATGTAAACTGTCAACACGACAGTGAGATATTCACTCCTCATTGTAAAAGATGTGGTCCTGGAAACCTAGTCAGAATAAGAGATAAACACCACCAGCACTGTTAGGAATTACGTCTGTGTTGGTTTTAAGAATTAGCTTACTGTTTCAGATAATTTGGTAGGATAAAATTTGACCCTTCAAGCACGCATCTATAAATGGGCACTTAATTTTTTTCTTTCTATATGTTCTTACCTAGAAGAAACCCTGAGTATCTCCCAAGGATTGCAACAGCAGAACACCAAATATTAAACTCAGTTGGTGGCATTTTGATCCCTCTCTTTTCTACAGTACTGCTGGCAGGCCAGGTAATCAGATTATCCTAAAGAGCACAAGGTATCCTTTCCAAGGTACTTCCCCATACAGTTCCCTGGTGCATCCATTTTGGGCTGACACAGGCCTCTTCCACTAGTATAATGCGTAATGAAAGGAAATATAGTAGTGTCTGTAAATGATAGCCTCTGATGTGGGAATTGTAACAATGTGATGGAAGTTCAATTCTCTGTTTTTCTTTCCCCCTTAGTAGTCACTGAAATGTACTTAAAATTTTTAAAGCTGTTGCTGTTATGATAATATTTTATGAAACCTTTTTCTTTTCTTTAAACCTAAATTTTGAGCCTATTCTAAATGAACAGTGTCCCTTTGACATTCATGGGATTTATGGGCAAGCATGGAGGGAAAATACATCCCTTTGCTGGATTTGAGTCAGGAGGATCCCAGAGGCATATACTGTACTTCTGAATTTCCTTCCACTTTTCATGACTGTAATTCTTGTGTCCTCTTTTGCATACATAATTGATTAATCTGTATTTTTAAAGGTTTAACACATTTCCTCTTTTTAATCTGGAGGCACATGATTTCATTTTCATTATACTCCCAAGGTCTCTGACTTCTGTTTTCCATTTCCCTACCCTGCCATCTAAGGGAACAAATTAGAGAGAAAATAACATTTTTTGGATTATTGGGATAAGGAGAGAATAATACAAAGCAGCAAACAAAAGAGGAGAATTAAATGAAAATGCAAAGATTCCCTGAAACAGAAGCAGGGAAATTAAAATTACAGTTTGTTCTGCCAGTGTCTCTCTTAAACCGTGAGGGAAGACAACCCGTATCATCACCAATGTCCTATTGTCATAGTTCCCATTAAGATAGCTGAGTCCAGAATCCCACAAAATTCCCACTGATTGAAGTCACTTAATCAACAAATTCCTTAGATTTGCTGGCCCTACCTCCCTACATTTTTAAGACTTAAGAGAAGATCCATTTAGAGACTGGGAGGCTTTTCAGATGCCTAACTGTTGCTAGGCCTGTTCTAATCTGCATAGATGTTGTGGTGTCCTAAGCATTCTACACTTTCACTCCTAGGATGTGTTTTGTAGGGAAGCATGACAATT